GCCACCTCCGAGCTAGGTTTCCATACTCCTTGTCAAACCAATGAAGCTTAATCGGTCCAACCTTTCGACATTTCAATGGCACAAGTTGGGAACAGAATGATGTCAATCTCTCTTTTATAAATATCCAACAATCTTCCACAGATACAGCTTGTGACAGAGACCAATCCAGTTGGCTCGCGGCTCGAGCTAGACCATCGGAGTCCGTTTTCCAGTAGTTTGGAGCTGGTTGCAGCGGAGGTGAATACGGCAAAGATAATCCCATATCAGCTATCAGTACTGAGTGGTCGTTCGTAGCCAGGGGCTCCAGGATCCTAACCTCACGCACTCGTTGTTCGTAGCTCGTTAACATCAAGTCGAGACAGGATGGCGTTGCACGTGTTGGTATGCGTGTTGGCTGGCATATGTGTTGCGATGCACTAGTTTCAAGTACCAAATCCACGAACTTTGCTTCAAGCTCACTATGTCCAGTCATCTGATGCACATCAGGCCATCGTATACGAGGACAGTTAAAATCGCCCATAAGTAGGAAGGGTGGATGACTCATGTGGGCTTGAAGTTGGGGCAGCCAATCCAAACAACGACTCATGGGACTGCGATAAACTGCGCCCACAAGCAGTTCTCCGCGCCTGAGGCGGATGGAGCACCACAGTAGTTCACACAGACCATCGTCACTTCGGTAGGTGCTCACAAGTCTCCTACACAGGGAAGACCGGATGTAAAGTAAGACACCACCGTGGGCATTCTTTAGTCTACCGCATCGGAAACACGAGTAACCGTTGAGTTCAAGTTCTTGGGTGTGTAACTCTGCATGCAGCCATGTCGCTGCGAGTTCCACTACGTCTGGCCGCTCAGACGCAACGAAACAACAAAGCTCATCGCGCTTATTCATAATACTGCAAACGTTTGTGAAGGCTACTCGCAGGCCACAGCAGGAGCCGCCGGGCGTGCTTAAAGTGTGAGCAGCCTGTTTGTCCTAATTCGCAGATTCTTGGAAACCACCCGAAAATTTACGATACGAAGATTTGTTTCCCCCTCACCAGTGCGTCTTTTCAACTCAATGATGGCAGACTTGAGCCGCTCCCTGTCTACTAGGTGCAGATCTGGACGAACATGGATCTTAAAACCTTTCAGCCTACTTAGGCGAGACATGATCAGTCTTGGACTGGCTTTGTTCACAAAAGTGATTCTCATAGGCCGATTTCGTTGATCACCTTGCTTTCCAAGACGGGTAATCTGCCTCACTTTTACCGAGTCCACACCAGCGTCGAGGTGTCTATCAATTAGACCCTGTAAACCTCGACATCGTGATTGTAGCGCACCTGGGGTGATGGATCACTGGACTCCGATGCGTGAAGGATCACGAGATTATAACGCCTCTGGTCGGACGAGGTTGGCCTTGCAGGGCGAAGTATACTACCAGCCTCAAGTGGTTTGGCTAACTGTTGACTTACAGAACGTAAACGCCCAACGTTCCTTCGTAATTTCGTGCTCTGTTCTTTCCAGTGGTCTTCAGCACTCAGACTTTCACCTGCTGGGACAGCAGTGTCCGTTGGACATAACAAAGGTAAACAATTTAGGGCAAGTGTAACTGAGCTTTTCACAACGTTTGGACTTCGTGTCGGTGAGTTTGCACGGGTAGAGGAGGACGACTGAGCCGAAACCTGAAGGCTCTTCCCGCTAGGTTGTTGGGCCAAACACACGGAGCTGTTCGCAACGAAACGCTGAGGCCTACACGTCGGCTTTACTCTTACTGGCTGTATCTTATTTCGGCAATTTTCAGATATACTTTGGACGAAATCGTGTTGGATTTCGCGATGACGATGAAAATGCTCAACTGATAATCCAACACACGAAATGTGGTATTAACTTCGCGCAAAATACATGTGAGGGCACTTGCAGGGCATCCGCCTAGTTTGGAGCAAGTACCACAGGATGACTGCTTCGGCATTGTGAATAATCCGAAAACAAGATGACGGCCACATGACGGAGAAAATGGCGATAGCAAGATCGCCAAAACCGAGTGATGAAAACACAAGTATTTTTGGTCGGAAATTTCAGAATCGGAAATGAAACTGAATTGTATCTGAATTTTCACGAAATACTTCCAATGAACGCAGAAAGTCAACACAAAGTAATCTTGTCGGCACAGTCAAAAATAACCTACCGGAGACCGCTATCCGCATACGGACCAGGTACTAAACTGCCACAGCAGCCACCCGATGAACCACAAGAAGAGGTGCATTCAAATCCTGTTCAAAAGACCGAAAATGCACTGCAGCACAGCCGAAGCGCGAAAACAGGATGAGAGTTTAGAAACAACGGTTATCCGAGAAATTTCATCAGAAAATGGTCCAGCAACAGCAGTCACCTGGACAAGCACACAAACGGATAGTACTTTCTTACCTCAACTACGTCTCCGAACTAACAGGAAGATTGCTGCAGTCACGTGGAATTTCTGTGGCTCAAAACCAAGTGCCACCCTAAGGAAATTGATATCAAGACCTAAAGAAAAGGTCAATCAAACCGACCAATGCACTGTCATCTACCAGAAAAAATGCAGCGAGTGCGATAAAAGCTACGTCGGACCAACTGTAGGAAAGCTTCATACATGAACACCGAACACAAGGCGGCCGCACTCTCATTTGTTTTTTCGCATGAAGGTCATGAAGGTCACCAATTCGATCTGGAGAATGTAAACCTTCTAGCACATGGAAGTAGAAAACACGCGAGGAAGTTTTTAGAAGCCTACTACTCTGCAAAGAATTCAATCAATCGACACCTCGAACTGGACGCAGTATACGCAACACTACTGGCGAACGACCGCCAACTCGATCGATTGAATCCGGTGTAACGTGTGACTAGACAGCCAGAACTGACGACAGGCTCGATCGCAAGAGCAAGTAGACAAAGACCACGAACCACAAGATATCAAGGTCAAAGGTCATCTGCCCATCAACCAAGCTGAACGCGGATCGAAGTTCCAACCAGTAGGATTGCTCGTCTCCACTGCCTACCACGGCGGTAAAAAACACACGCACACCACGCTCAGCGCACTCTCACCAAGGCTCGTCTACGCTACTGTACGCTATTGCACGCCCCTCAACTACGTACTGATGACGTCACCACCATTGATGACGAAATGGTTTTAACGAAATTTCATTGCTTAGCGAACAATTAAACGCCGTTTGATCAACCTGAGTTACCAATCTTTTATTCTATGGCTAACAAGGGTATCTCGCCATCTGTGTGAGATATTGATTATACGAAATCTGTAGTTATGCGGGTTGAACAAATCCTGACTCCCTTATCCACCTCAGTCGATTGGCACACGTCACAAATGAAACACACCAAATTGGAGGAGGTCTGCTGGATAAGTTCATACAAGTTGGCTTCAATATTGCAACAGGCGATGTGCAGCCAGCCATTACGGGTCTTGCACTGCAAAGCCTTTGAGCGGGAAGTGACACACTTCCTACAGTCCACGAACTTGGGTGTCATATTTTCCGTGGAAATTTTGACAACCGTCAAATTTCGTCAAACGCTTCTATTCAAACACATTTATGCACGAGCCACTGACCTAAAATTCTCGAAAGTATAGCACACCAGAAACTGGTTACCGCGTAGTGCTCACCCAGCCAAATGTTATGGCATGCTTTTCACTCAGGGACACCATCATCTCAGTACGTTCTTGAAATGGTTATTAAAGGCAACTGTCAACAGCTAAGCCAGACGTGTTTTATCTAACTGAGGTTTTTGAAAACCTCAGCTTACTTAGTAAAACACTTCAAGGCAAGAGGAATAATCTCATCTCGAGTACAGAAGCCATTATCGCTTTTCTCGATAAGCTGAAAGTGTATGCCTAAAACGTCGGACGTCCAGAATTTTCAGTTCCTAATTCTAGCAGGATTCACCGAGGAACTGAAAGAAGACGCCTGCAATGTTTGTGCCAATCATTTATACCAACTCCGATACGCAACTAAAGATGGTATTCGTACCATGATTGGCAAGAAATTCCAATGTGGATTTTATACGCATTTGATGTACAGCCCTAGGATATTGGAGTTCAACCCAGGAAATTCTCAAATAGCTTCAAAGTGACACACAGGCAAGATCCACATTCACGCAATACAAAAGGAATATTTAGATCAATGCCTGGGCCATAAACTGATATCCTAGACTGTAGGAAGTAGTTGATATATATTGCGGTGCTTTTCCTTCAACATACTTAGTTGAATGTGGATTCAGTCGAGTGGATTCCCTAACAACGTGTAGAGACAAATTGGACATCACAGCGAGAGATCTGCGACTCTTGATGTTCAGTCTGGAGCCGGACATAACCAAGCTTGCTCAAGGACATCCGGCTCAAGGCTCGCAATAATATCTCGACAAGCACATTGCAACGAAGTCAGTAGACCTCCCAATTCATGATTTAGCTTATAGTCAAAAGCCAACAATAATTAAATGCAGTTAAAAATATTAGTTATGACTTGTGTAATTACATCTTGTCGCATAAAGAATGTTACCTTGAAGCTATTAAAGTTAAAATATGAAGTCTATAAGGGAAACAACAGAGATATTAACATTAAAAATTTCACCATCATGACAAGAGATACCAATATGAGCGATGGAAATCACAGTTTTACGTGTGTTACGCGTTGCAGATTGCTAAAATTATGGTCATCAAGGGTGGGGGCCATGAGAAATAGAAAGGTTAAAAAGGGTTCCACGGCTGAATAAACTTTGGGAATGCCTTGATTAGATTGCTGAGTAAGGTATTCTACTCAAGCTATTTAATGGTGCCAGTCACTGAATGGCCAGCATGAAGGCAGGCGAATACCACTAATTTTATACATATATACACAGTCACTCAGAAAGCACATAAATTGCCACACCCTTTGAACATCCCTGTTAACTGGGTCAGCAGTGGCGACACCCTACGTACCGGATGGAGTCGATTCACAGATCTCAACTTGTAGTTGTAAGAAAGGTGAATGACTTACCTGGGCGTAGTGCTGAACATTTTTGACTGATGTCCCAGGGGAAGCATGTGAGAAGTAGACGGGTAAGCGACTCTACGGAATGAATGATGGGTAGAAATCGTAAAGTAATATTAATACAATATAGGAATCAGGGGTGGGGTTGTCTGACAACATGGGCGCGAGCTGTGTAGTGACCACTGGAAATATAATGTAAAACAAAGGCATTCATTTCAGGAGTGATTGAAAAATTAGTTAAAGTTGGCGCTCAGTGGCACCAGTTTGGATGGAAGGTAGCCAAATTCAGACCACCCCAGGACTTGACGGACACTGGATGTCCGCAGTCAAGTGTCAGACTCAGCATGACACGGTTGGAGATCACAGTCATCAATGCATTGCCCCATGTAATCAAATGTGTCGAGTAACGAACCACAATTGAGCAGTGGCAAAGCGTCATGGTGCGCTGCGTTTACGTTTTAACCGAAATTATGGGACGCAGCAGGAAATGGCTTAAATCAAACGACTCCGTTTATAAGGCACAATGCTATCAGGGCGTAGGGCATTCGGAACCCAAGTGTTATGCTCCGAATATGAGAGGTTAAGACAAGCTATTGTAAATCATTGTAGCCGCACAATGTGAATGTAACGCTGCAGAAAAGTTTCGCATCAGAGCTTCATAATCCGTGTGGTTGTCATTTGGGAGGACTTCTGTTAACTAGGGTAACTGGAGTAAACACTACTCAGTGAAAACACTTTGTCGAATGTAGTTCGTGGTTTTTCAACCACCGATGCTTTACATCGGGTCTGGCAAACATCGAAGAATATGGAGAGCAGCAAAATATTTTGGGTAGATTCTATAAAGTCAGGTATCGCAATGCCCATGGTAGATGTACGCGCTCATACTTCAAAACACACATGTTAAGTGATAGTTGCCTCAAAATTACCCTTAAGAGGCGATACTCGGAACCGCTGGGCGACAATTTGTTATGACGTACAAATTAGATAGGAGAATGATTGTGCTGCAAAACGCTAAAATGATATACACTCTGGTGTCCCACAGAATACTACGATGGCCACTCGAGAAGTGCCGACCTTTACCGAGATGTCAGTCATCTTGTCGCAACTTAAACATTTAATTTGAGATATTAAATTCTAAGAAAATATTTAGTCTTCGGATTTATACCGAGCTTATCATATGCTACAAAAGGATAGATAATACAGCTACCTGGTCGTTACAATTGTCCTAATCGTCACGAACAAAACGGACCCCGCAAAACTAGTACCCCTAAAAGAGAGAAATGAACTTATCGATGCTCGCGTTCTAAACTGCCAGCACCCACGCACTTAACCCCGAGAGAAGACTGGTCTTCAGCAGCGTACTCCAACGACCCGGCAGAAAGGCGATTTCGGGGTGGCATAGTCTAAATTTGGTGCCGTGAATAACGACCTAGTCTGCGTAGACCGGCGGTTCACAATATTTTGTGGTTGTTAGCCCAAAGCGGGTGCATTAGCAACAAGTAGCCCCAAACGAAAGTTGTTTTCAAAGTATATTGCCCGTTAGCTATTGCATTTTTGATGCTAATTACGGAAAGCGAATATTTTTAATTAATTTCGATCATTTAGCCGGTCAATACACCTATTTTTGATCAATGTTCAAATAATACAGTTGTGATGGGCCATAGTGAGATTGTCGATTTTGCTTAGTTCCAGCAATTTCTGATATATTTGGTGCGTTTTCGACTAATGCGCAGCGTATGTTATGTTGCAAGTTCATTCGATTCCTTACTTTGGTGTGTAAGCCATGGTCAAACAGGAACAGATGTCTGTGGCTTCTCATTTGTTACAACTAGCGCTTCCAAGTCCGTCATGGGTGACGGTATCCCCCTAGCACTCGTTATCGATGCGACCTGAACACTAATCGCCTGTTTTTTATTGTAACTGGTAAAAATTCACTCGATCCTTTACCTGTTCGGATAACCCAACTTTTCATTTAGCGTGCAATGAACATAGGACCGGACGAACGACTGCCTGACTCAAGAGGGCAAAACTTGAGGAGGAAGCTGATAGACGCGCCATTTAAGTGAGCTGATCTATACACCCACCTTAGTGTTCACTCAACTCGCTACTGCGACCCAGCAAACGAGTGACTGGCTCAAAAAATACAACGATCGACGAGCCAGTCGATAGCTACGCTTCTTTACAGGATTGTATTCTTATCTTGCTGGTACAATTTGTTACCGAATATTGTCCAGTTCACCGACCAGTTGATAGTGACTAATCACTAATAGCTAATCAGTAATGACCAGATAGTTTGGTTGTATGTTTGGCAGCCGATTGATGACCCATTACTCGTAGTTATGTTTACCCCTGTAGAATTGTATTCTACTCTCTTGGGGGTAATTACTCCCGGGTGAAGAATCACTGAGGTAGACGAAGACAATCCAAGAAGAAAATGACCTCCACACCTCGTGAGAGGATGTGTAACAAGGGAACTTACATGCAGCACACGAGTGTTGTCGAAATAAGTGCAATTTGGATATGTCCGAATGGTGAACTCACGAAAGTACGACGTCACGACCACAGCTTGAGAAAGCTTGTGGTTCAGGCTCTCCTTATAACAGTACACTTTCAAGATAACCGAAAAATATTGCCATGTAGTTTCACCAATGATGAAGGTGACTAGGTTACTTAAAAGATAAGGATAAAGCCAAACGAAAAGCTTTGGATTAGTAGTGTTGAAGACCATCGTTATGCAAACTGAGAGGACATGTTCTTTGGATGAATCTGCGCTAACATGCACCAGCCAAGTTCAATCCGCAATGATACGGTTTGACCAGGGCAACAGTCAATGCAACAAGACCATTTGAACCCGTACGTGTGATGGCGTACCAGACAGTGTAATCGCCTGATGAGGGTGGAAAAACTGAGGGGATCAGAAACACTAGAAAAACGGCTTAAAGAAGAACCGGAATCGAACAGATAGGTCAATGAACTGAGCCCAGCGGTGTCAGCCCTCACACCAATGGGCAGTTAAGGCGCTTGATTAAAGGCTTTGAAGGGGCATCCCTGATACGTGTCAGCAGTAATAAGACAACGACCTGACATCCAGAAGAGGGTTGCATCTCGACTTTCGGAAAAATAAACAGTGCTAATTAATAACGGAAAAAGCAAGCGAATAGGAGTCATCTGGTCAAATTCGCAACTCGACACTATTTTCCATCTCAAGAAAAAACGTGTACATTACGCTTGAAGCAAACCATAGTTTTCGATTTATTCTTTACTAGGCTGATTTCAAAATATACTTTGAGAAAAGTACACTTCTGCAGAGGTTACATAAAGTGGCAATTAATCAGACAAATGTTTATGGTGCCCTGAATCAGGTGAAGAAGTAGTAGAAGGTGATGCCGTTGACCACCATCGGATAGGTCTCGGTTGGTCGCTGACCAAGGTACTTGCACTGCGCTGACGCGTCCATCTTGTGAATTCGCAGGTCGATTTTCTCAAAGTGATGCATATCGCTTCAGCGGTAGTAACTAGCCGTGCTCCTGCACGGCGAATTAGTTGCAGTGGCATTCTATACAGGCTTTCGAAAGCAGTACGTTTGTCTACTTCAGGTTCGGCGTAAACCGATTGATTAGTTATTGAAATCAAGTTAGCTCTGTTCCGGTGATCGATAAACGAATACGACAAAAGATTTCTTGATACGCGTTTTTAAGTGCTTGGTCTTGCGTCCAATGTACTTAACCTCCAAAAGAAGGTTAACCGATAGATAAGCATGGATTGCAGTTGATCAGGCGATTTATCTTGCAAGGTAGGAGAAATTCATGATTTACCTGTAACGCCAACGTTATGTTGCACTGCATTAAAAGGTCGCTGAGCAAGTTCTTATTAGTAGTCTCGTACCTAATTCAGCCAACATGTTACCCTTAAGGGAAGTTAGAGAAACAGCTGTTTCTTTTAAAGTTTAAGTACAGTTGGGACAAGATCAATAGGATAGGGCAGTGTATGTTCCTACTTTTGCGTATCGTTGAACCGGGAAATGATAGGTCGGTTTGAGATGTTGAAAAGCCTAAAACAAAGACCGCATCTCACTCTGTTCAACCAATCACTGCCCACATTTCCTTCCTAGCAGTCCCTGCCAGGACTTTATTTAAGGTAAGAAAGAGGGAAGGGTAAGCTAAGAAAACAAGAGGAGGTATGTTAGCTACTTAATGATACTACTAAGATATGAGAAGTAGCACAATCGAAGAGATAGCTTAGGATGTAAGTCAGTCAGGAGAAGGGGAAGGCTTAGTACTGCCACCCAAGCGCATCTAAGCGACGCTCGAAACTCTCAACCGTAGCCTCACTAATAACGTGGGCCGGAAGAGAGTTCCAAAGTTCAGTAACGCGGCGTGACAAACGAGTTTCCGTCCTTACCCGTCGGAACCCAGTTTGTGCAAAGCGCATCTCGAACTGCTTGGCTTTATATGAACATCCATCAAGCTTTCTGGATAGCACTTTAAGAGAAATGTCTGTTTGATTCCCGCTAATTCTCATGTGGCATGCCAAATAACACACTCACATGATAACTTAGTAAAAGCTTGGGCATATAGGAGAAGAAACGGCTACAGGCTAAGCAGTCATACTAATAGAACGGTGCTGAAAAGGGCTAAAATTAGATGGGCTGTCACTAACAGGAAATCGTATAAGGATAATACTCAGGCTCCTCCACGAGTTGCAAGTGTCTAAAAGGAAGCTAGTGTAAAGAATAGGCATCCACATTCCGTGCTGCTCGTGTCGGCATGTAGATAGTGACCGGAAGAGCGTCCAGAGTAACGCAGCGAATACAAGTTTGAAACCCCCTTGACGGGATATGATGTAGGACGAGTATTGCAATAAAATTTGCAATCAAAGGAAACACGTGTTTACCCGATGATCATATCAGCAGTTCGAAGAGGAATAACTTGCAAATTAGCAACAAACTATTTCAGGCCTTCCTTGCAGACTACGTGGACATGACAGAACCATTACCGTAGATGAGGATCACATGGAATTCCTTGCTTTGTGTCAAAATGACCAACTCGCAAATTATTGCTCCCGCCATCCCGAATACCC